CAAGCCGCCGCCTCCAGTCCACAGAGGCAGTGGGAAACCCCAGGGAAGCTCCTCTGCTTGACCTGAAACCCCACATGGCGCTCAGAAATGCGGCTGCCTGGCGCTTTCCCTTTCAGTCCAGAGGGGAGGGGGAAGATTCAGACGCTGCTTCCACCTCCAACACAATCCCATTGGTGGGTTTCTGGACAGAAACTGGCCAATGGGAGCTGCTTGTTTGAATAACGGGCAGCTACAAAACATGACCCCTCCTCATTTACTCACTCAAGCACATGGCTGAATAGGCAGAAACATTTTAAGCTCTGCAAGCCTTTAGCTTGGCAGGCAGGCAGGTTTGGCTGCTGTCTGGTAAGTCTCCTGGTCAGAACTTGCCTCTGGCACCCCAGCCTTTCCCTTCCCCAACCCTCTGCCTCCCTCCGCTGCCCCACTACTCCATGTGCACCCATATCCCTCCCAGATCTGGCACCCCAATCTCCTGCCCAAGATCACAATCCCTGTCCTACCTTAGGTCACATCCTAAAACCCTGCACCCCAGTTTCCTGCTCTAGATCACAACTGCCTCCTTCACTCAAACTCCTTCTCAGACTCCATTCTCCCTCCTGCACCCCAAGCCCTTACCCCAAGCTCCCTTCTTCACCTAACCTCTATCCCAGGCCCTACACCTCCTCCATGAATATCATGGAAGAGTAAAATCTTGGAGCGGCCCCTCCATCAAAAATTATTGCCCACCCCGGCTGTAGATGATCCCATCCATTCTGGTGTGTCTCTTATATGGCTGAGCATTACATAAAAGCATGATGTTGACCCATTATTACAAAAGCATCCCAAAACCCACAGCTTGCTAGGCACATTTTTATTTCCCTTGAAGAGAGAGCTGCAAAGCCTTTATTTTGATCCAGGTTCACATTTTGGCTTAGGGCCACATGGACGCAAAAGAAGAGACAAGAATTTTGAAGTGAGCATTTATTCTGAACTGGAGCTTACAGAGTCAATCGTTATGTTGGGTACATAGCTGTGTAACTACTTTGCTGAACAATTGACTCCTAAAATGTCAACAGTGGGGATGTTGAGATGTAAATGTTGCTGCCAGATTTTCATAAAAAAAAATGCAGACTTAAGAACTTTCGGCTGATTGCTCATTTGTATTTTCTTGCAGCATCAGTCTTCACCTTGTCAAGAACTGTTCAGAGGCAATGGGGTGGTGCGATATGTTAAGAAGACATATTACAAGATGTATTTATTGCAATAATTGTTAGATTTGAAATTCACCCCCCTATATGTAGGGTTGTACCAAATTCACGGTCATGAAAAGTGCGTGTCACACTGTAAAATCTGATCTCTTGTGTGCTTTTACCCTACACTATACAGATTTCACGGAGGACATCAGCATTTCTCAAATTAGGGGTCCTGACCCAAAAGAGTTGTGGGACAGTCACAAGATTATTTTAGAGGAGTCACAGTATTGCCACCCTTACTTCTGTACTGCCTTCAGAGCTGGGCAGCCACTAACTGATAGAGGGGGTATAACACAATGCTGATAAAGGCTAACTTTTATGAGCCACCACTGTTCCTTGCCTTACTACATTTAAAATGCAGAGCCGCAGCTGTCCTGGACTGAGCTGGGACACCCAGTCACAAGATTATTTTAGAGGAGTCACAGTATTGCCACCCTTACTTCTGTACTGCCTTCAGAGCTGGGCAGCCACTAACTGATAGAGGGGGTATAACACAATGCTGATAAAGGCTAACTTTTATGAGCCACCACTGTTCCTTGCCTTACTACATTTAAAATGCAGAGCCGCAGCTGTCCTGGACTGAGCTGGGACACCCTCCCCCTCCATGACCCTCCTATCCCCACTGCTACCTCCAATAGAGGGTGGGGAGTGGCACTGCAGAGACAGTGCTGGGGGGGGACCAGCTTTTAAGCAGTCTTTTCCCCTAGTACCAGCTCCTATTTCTCCCTCCCACCCCTCTTGCTGCCTTTGTTACAGAGGTAATAAGCGAGTAGTTACATCCCTAGTGCGCACACATACGTGCACACGCTAGCCTTTGGGAGGCGTTCTGAACAGTGTTCCCTCTAGTTTTTCCCACCCTTGAAAGCAATTAATTTTTCTTATGTGCATCAATGTGGAGATGGTATGTGTGAAGTGTGAACACATCACCTTTATAATGGTGCACATAACACAATTCATGTGGCAGGAGTGGGGCCAAGGATTCCTGGGTGTGGGGAGGGGCTGAGGGCTGGGGTCCAGGAGTGTGAGGGCTCCAGGTAGGGCTGTGAGCACTAGGGTGGAGTTGGGGTGAAGGGGCTCAGGGCTAGGACAGAGTTGGGGTTTAAGGGCTCTGGCTGGGGGTGCAGCTCCATGCTGGGACTGGCAGGGAAGGGTGGAGTTACCCCCTCTCCCCACCAACACTAGAAGCTTTAGAGCATAGGGGGAAGGAGAGTTCTCTCTGCTGCAGCTCTGAACCCCTGCGCAGAGCTTAGTGCAGTGGTTCTCAACTTGTTTCAGCCCACGGACCACCAGGCTAATCAAAAAATTTTCGTGGACCACCTCCAGCACGTAGCACAGAACGAACGACACAGCAACCGCTCAGCACGATGGCGGCAGCTATATTTACGCTCAGAGCCTCAGACGGAAGTTACTGGCAACACAACATGGTTGCATCCTAGGTGACGCTATGGATAACGTGCCGTGTGCTTGTGAACACAACGTAAAACAGCCGAACGGCGATGCCTGCTCATGCTGTGTGACTGGACAATGTTCCTGTGAACCACTGAAAAAGTCACCTTGGACCACCAGTTGAGAACCACAGGCTTAGTGGGAAGCTCTGTGGCCACGAAGCATAGGGGGACTTAGGTTCTGATCTGACAATTTGGTCAGCCCTCTTGCTGGGAACATGTAGAGAGCATTTCACTTTAAACCTAGTCTAGTTTCTCAAGTTTTAGTCACTAGAGAGGATTTTATCTTGGTTCCTCTTGTAATCGTTTCTGACTCGAATGTCATATACATGTACTTGCTTAAAATCTGTCTCTTTGGAGTTAATCTTCTTTTAGTCCTTACTCAAACTGATCCAGTGTTGTGTGTTAAACTGAGTTGTTTGGTAAGTCCAGCTAAAGTAGTGAGTTGTTATACAGTAATTCCTCATTTAACACTATAGATGCGTTTCTGAAAATGTTCGTGCTAAGGGAAAACGTACTATGCAGGGTACATTTTTCCATTAAAAATAATGGAAAAGGTGGGGGTTGCATTTCCGGTGGTGGTGGCAAAGTCAACTTTTTGTTGGTGCAGGGTCATCATCAACATTTGATATCTAGCAACACAAGTTGCCGCTGTTTGTTAAAACACAAAGATAAACACATGTGAGCGGAGGAGCGCTGTGACCACGTGTATTCATCCACTCGTGTATTACCACTGTTTTCGCCAACTTACACCGCTGCGCGAAGTAGTCCGCCACTTGATTATTTTCATGTTATTTTGGGGACGGTCGTGTTGTTCGAAAAAATGTTATTGCGAAAACGTGTTAAGTGGGCACGTGTTAAACAAGTAATTACTGTATGTTAAGCCTTTACAGGGGCAATGAGCCTATAATATTTGAATGGTCAAGGTGAGGGCTGGATGTTGCAGAACCAGGCTCATATGCAGGGAGGGTGTGCATGCACCCACCCCTTATGGTCCTCCAAGTAAACATGAGGTTGGGGCAGCGTCCTTCTTCCACCGTGTACCGGCCAGCCAGGGGAAGGCTGGGGCTGATTTCCCCCCTCCATCTTGCCCTGAGTGAGGCATGGGGCAGGGCTTGGGCACAGGGGCAGGGCATGCACCAGCCCCTCCCATGGTTCTCTTCTCCCCTCCCTCCCCCCGCAGAAATTCCTGCCTATGAGCCTGAGACTAATGTTTTAGGAAAAATTCAGAAGTAGGAGTGTGTTGGGGTCAACCTTCAGGTAGTAGCCAAGGTTGCCGGAAGTCAGTGTGTGTCTGGTGTGTCGCTGACAGGCTGCTGGGGTCAGTTTCTGGGCCATGGCTATAGCAATACATGAACCCTCAGGGCATCCCTGGTAGCAAGTCAGGTTGGGAGCTACCACAGTAAAGTTGAGGCACCCGAGATTGCAGGGCAAGTGATACCACATATACTGAGCCTTTTAACCATAGCCTAGAAGAAGGCACATGGCTGATCCTGTGTGTCTTGGGCATGATCTTAGAACTGGCATGAACCCCCCCCTAGCTTTTGGGGGGTAAAAACTGCTGGGAGTCGTGCAGTACTTAGCGCCATCTCCATTACTGCTTGGTTCCTACATACTGCTAAGTGGCCATCTCTCCCTGTGATATACCTTGATATCAATTGCCCCTGAAGATGGCTGAGGTTTGCAGTGTCAACCTGTGGAACTCTTTCCAGAGGATGTTATAAAGACCAGGATTAAAAAAAAAAAGACCTGCCTGCTCTGGTCTGTGTCTCCATGCTGCTCCTGGAAGCAGCTTGCTGCTGACACATCTCTGCACACCGCTAGTGGAGGGGAGGTGGCTTTATCTGCACTGCTCTGGCCCTGGGCAGTGCACCATGACCTGCTGCCTTCTGGGCATGCAAAGACGTACCAGCAGCAGGGCTAAGGCGGCAGCTCCCTGTTCATTGTGCCTCCCTATCTTGGAGATGCACGAGGGGGGTGTCTCCAAATGTTGCCCTTACTAGTGTGCTGCCCCCACAATTCCGATTGGCTGAGAACTGCAGTCAAGGGGGGTGGCTTCCAGAGGGGTATGCTGGTTGCTTTGAGAGCTATGCTGCCTGGTTGAAGTGCTGACCCCTTGATCCAGCCCTGAACCTGCTCCCCACACTCATCTTCCTCCCAGAACTTGCACTCTCTCAACCCCCAGCCCAAAGCCCACACTCACATCCTAGAGCCCGCAGGTACTCAAGGTACCTCATTTTTTTTTCATTTACTTCCTATTAGTTATAATGGAGGAGGAGGATGAAAAAAGAATGAGAAATCGAAATAAAATATTTTTTCATGGCTGGGTCCAAAAATGAAGCTGTACCCAGGGCCCCACTAATTCTAACACCTCCACTGGTGTGTGCTAATGAATACCCAATACCTCCTCCCTGGGTCTTATGCAAGAAGAGTGATACAGAGATTTTGAAATCATTTTCTAGGGTGGAGTCGAAAGAACTCCCAAGGAAAGGGGAAGCTGTGGAAATGTAGCAGTGGCGTGTGAACTGCAGGAAGGATCCGGCTGCTTCAGGCTGGGAGGGACAGCATGGCCCAGCACAGAGTCTGTGAGTAGCAAGCAAGCTCCTTTCCCTATTGCTGCTGCCCACTCCCAAGCTCCTTGTTTCTGGGGGAGGGAGGGAGGAAATGAGAGAGGTTTGCACTGGTTTCAGAGATTGCCCCAGCAGAGGGATAGGGGAAAATGAGGAACAGCAGATGTAAATTCTCTGCCCTACGTGGGGCAGAGGGGAGGATATGGGAAAGGCGAGGGGTGTTAACACTTTCTCAATGAGGGGTGAGACCTCCCAAGGGTTTTCACTGTGAGGAGAGTCATTTGAGTTCAGCTCCTAAGCTCTCAGCTGTATGTGAGGCACCATAGCCGTGGGCCCAGACAGGAAGCGGAATGGAGAAGTTGGTCGTGTTTTCTTTGGCTTAGCGCCAAAGCTGTCTTTAGCCCTAGGCAGAATATGCCGTTGCGTAGGGCACCACTGGGTCTTAGTGTCCCCCCATCTGTCTCTTCCTGTCTCTGTTCTGTAGCTCTGCTTTCTCCTGAGAGGATCCAGTTTACGTGACAGTGAAAAAGCCTGCCAGCCCTATTAGCAGAACCTGTGAAAGAGCCATTCAAGTGGCAATGCAGCCATTTAACAGGCATTTGCCCCACGTAGGGCCCCGTGAATCCTAAAGACGGCCCTGCCTAGAACAGCCCCCTCTGTCTACAGTGATCTTCCCCAGCATCTACCCCTCTGCTGTAGGTTCCCTTCCTATTGGGGTTGGGGATGGCCAGGCAGGCTGCTACTTGAATGCTTTAGTCCTTCTGAAACCCAGGGGTGATTCTTCAAATAGCTCAGACATGGCCAACCTGCTGCGGCCCTTGCCCTCCAAAAGTGCAGCTTGTGAAGCCGCTCCTGCACTCCCCCAAACGGCCCCCACCTCCTGTTAGCTTCCCTCTCCCACCCCTCCGGCTTCCCTAGGCTTACTGGGTCAGAACTGTTTTTTTTTTTAAAATGGTGGCCAAGATGGCAGCCGTCTTAAAGGGTCAGCCTCCTTTTAATTTTTTGTTTTTGCTTTTACTTAACAATTCTGTTCTGGGGGGCTATTTTTTGCTTAACAATTCTGGTGCAGCTCTTCGCATTTTTTTCTGTCACTGTTTTGGGTCTCTTTGTTAAATGGGTTGGCCACCCCCAACATAGCTGCTCTCCTTCCACCCCTGACAACATTAGTCCCCTCTGGCACATTGGCTGCCAGCAATTCCCAAGCTGCTTCTCCCTACGTAACTAAAATATCCCCGTTTTATATATCTGCTTGGGGTCCCTAGACCAGTGTTTCTCAATCGGTGGCACTAGTACCCTTCGGGGTACTCGAAGTCTGGGGGGGGTACGTCAACATAACTGAAATTTGGAGAAAACTGAATTTTAGTTTTAAGTTTTACAGCGCTTTATTATTTTTGTACTTTTTACACCCAAAAATGTCATCACCTGCCCGGCTTCGATTAAGTTGTTTAAACAAATGCGTTGCAATGGTAGGAAAAAATTGTGTGTGTCTGAAAACTGTAGGTACTTGGGGTACTTATAATTTTTGTAAAGGGGTACTTTGTTTAAAAAAAAAAAAAAAAGGTTGAGAAACACTGGCCTAGAACTCAAGGCCAGTGAGTGCCTGAGGGAAGGTCCTGAACTGAGCTCCTGACCAGAGAGAGAAATATATTCATGGCTGGCTACAGCTCTAGTGGTGTGACTCACCCTGCCATCCTCTCTTGCCACCAAAGAGCATGGGTTGGCTCAGTAGGTGCCTGAGGGAAACCCATTAGTGACTCAGGATGAAGCACTCCTATGAGTCATTCCTGAGTCACTAACCCAGGCACCCTGAACTGCTGTCATTAGAGATCCCTCTGGCACTTTAGGGGCGGGTATGGCTCTTTAAACTTGTCTCCTCATCAAATTTCAAGCAGGTGATGTACGGGCTGCTGAGAGGAGGCGGGGATCAATGGTTCTCTCTGTCTACTGAAGGCAGGACATGAAGGGATGGGCTTTGTCTGCAACAAAGGAGATGTAGCTTAGATGTTGGGCAACACTTTGCAACGATCAGGGTAGTTAAGTTCCAAGGGAAAAGGCTTCCAAGTGAAATTGTGGAATCCCCATCATGGGAGGTTGGTAGGAGCAGGTTGGACAAATGCCTGCCGGGAATCTAATAGGATTACTTGGCCCTGCCTCAGTGCATGGGGCTGGACTGGGTGACCTCTTGCCTTTCCTTCCAGTCCCACAGTTTTGATAAGACTGTCCCTCCTCAACATCCCCCCTGCAGTTTCAATCCAACACAATATTCATGCCCTTTTCTAGACTGTTGGGTAGTGCTTTGTCACGGATGCAGGGCTGGGGCTATCTCTGTGCTGCTAAAACAACACCCCTGTGTCGCTGCAGCAGCAACGACTTTTCACAGGTTTTTAATGTAGCGTGTTTGAGCTTTTAGAACATTACGGAAGAGACGTGGGACAGTAATGAGGGACTAAAGGAGCTCAGCCTTTCAGGCCCCCAAATGGGCAGTCAGATTTCAGGCAGGAGAATAGTGGGTGCACTCTAGGGAGCCAGGCTCACAAGCTGCCGTGATCTGTTCCATCCATTAGGTCAGGAGCAAGATGACTGCATGAATAAAGTGACTCTCTCCACAATGAGGCTCCGAGTGCTGCCTCCTACAGTCCTGCAGGACCCCCGAGTGGAGAGCCTGAACCTCGACCGGAACAAGCTGAAATACGTCCCTGGGATTTCAAAGCTTTGCAACTTACGAAAACTGGTCTTGTCCAAGAATGAGATCGCAGACTTCCCAGGGGAAATCCAGAGCCTGGTCCACCTAGAGAAGTTGGAACTGAATCAGAACCAAATCCGGGTCATCCCGGAGGGCATCTTCTCCTGTCTTCCCAGGCTAACGCACTTGCGGTTGAACAACAACCGCCTCAGTGCTCTGCCCAAGGACTTGGCCACCTGCAGCGGCAGCCTCCAGTACCTCAACCTGTCCAACAACTTGTTCCGTGCTCTCCCCCAAGCGGTCTTGGAGCTGGTGCAGTTACAGGAGCTCTATGTGCAGAATAACGGGCTGCGCCAGCTCCCCAGGGAGCTGTTTGAAGGGAGGCCGCTGAAGATGTTCAAGGCAAATGGGAACCCACTGAGGGAACCTCCCAATGAAGTCTGTGCTGGGGGCATCCAGCAGATCCTCGGCTACTTCTGCCATCTGCAGAACTGCCCGGCGGAGGAAGACAGGAGGGTGAAGACCATGTTCCTGGGAGCATCGCTGGCAGGGAAATCTACTATCTGCAAGAGCCTGAAGCAGAGGCGAGCAGTCTTGGTGTCTGAGGAAGAACGGACAGTAGGGATTGAGATCAGTGAGTTCCGCATCCAGGACTTCACATTTCTCTTCTGGGACTTTGCTGGGCAGCTGGAGTATTATGTGACTCACCACGTGTTCATCACCCCACAGGCCCTCGTCATCCTGGTCATTAACTTCCAGACGTAAGTGTTATGCAATGGGCTGGTTTGTGTTAACCAGATCGGGCAGACGTGCAGGGATGATATAGGCAGGGAGCAGGGAAGTGACATGGCCAGGGCTCTCATGGCACAGTCTCCCTGGGCATTCTTTCTGCCTTCTCTGCAAGGGAACTGCCAGTCTCCTGAGGTGCGATCAAGCTCCTTTTATGTAGGTCGCTGAACAGCTGCTGCAGCTAGTACTGATCATGGGTCACGTGAGTCTGTACCAGTAAGGCCAAGCCTATAGATTGATCATCCGGTCTCATATATCCAACACTAGCTTAGAGGAAGGTGTTGAGAGAACGCACTGTTCGGTGTATGTTGTTGTAATGGGGTCAGCACTCACCTTCCACAAGCGCTCCCATTTGGCCACGTGCAGGTTCCTGCACTACTTCAGTCTTTTAAAAGCCTTGTGGTTACTCAGCCCTCTGGCCGAGTCACACTTCTTTGTGTAATCACAAACCCCGTCCGGGGTATACCTCTGACAGGGCCTATGCTGGTATCCTCTCTAGAGTGTCTCTCTGGGTATGTCTACACTACAGAGTTTTTTGTCAGAACAATGGCCATATTTCTGACACAACTTGAGGAATATCCACACTGCAATTGCGTTCTTCCGCAAGTAAATTGAAAGAACAGAGGGGTCTTTGCGGTATTGGTAATCCTTGTTCTATGAGGAAGAAGCCTTTTTCCAAAAGCTCTCTTGCGGAAAAAGGCATGTGTGGACGGGGAAGAGGGAGTTTTTTCGGAAGAAGAGGTAAGAGGAAAAAGCACAGGTGCCCTGGTGGCCATTCTGTCCATAGCAATTGCGGTTTACATGCAAGAGAGCATCCAGGCAGTCTGGATGCTCTCTTTTGCAAAAGCACATCGCTTTTTCAATGCGCTTTTGCAGTGTGGACACTTTCTTTCGCAAGAAGCTTTTTCGGAAGATCTCTTCTGAAAAAAGTTTCTTGTGCAAGAAGCCTGTAGTCTAGATGTATCCTCTGAGTCCAGGCTCTCAATCTGTTTCCCCACTCAGTAGGAGAGTGGTGCCTCCAGAGCTTCTCCTCCTGGAGACCGTGCCCTAAACAGCTCCCCGCCCTGAGCTGTCCCAAGTTCTGCCAGCCAGCCCCTCTCACCTTCTCTCTTCAGGTCCGGGCTGCAGCTGAGCTGCTTCTAGTCCTGCAGCTCCTTTTCTAATCCCTCCTGGCTCCTGATTAGGTGGTTCCTCCACAGCCACTCTAGCCTGCCTGGAGGACTTCTCGATGGCCTTTTGGCCTTAGGGCCTGGCTGCATTGCACTTGTCCTTTTTTCTGCCTCATTCACAGAGAGAAATGTGTCTGCTACAGATCCCAGCTAAGAGATGCAGTCCTTCAGCTCATGCTGTAGAGCTCTGTGTGCTTCAGTGTCAACGCCATATTCGATTCCGGGATGACCCACCGCACATTGTCACACCCTGCACTGATAACTGGCTGAGGGTTGGTTTGATTTTTCTTTTTCCCCCCCCTCAGATACCAGCTCAATAATGACGTCTTCCAGGAGCTGGTTGGCTTCTGGATCAATAACCTCTTCATGCGAGTCCCCAACTCTGTGGTCCTGCCTGTGGGAACCCACGTAGACTGCTGCACTGAGGAAGAAGTAGAAGAAAAGAAGCAGGACATCATGGGCAAGGTCCAGGCCATGCTGGAGGAAAGGAAGAGGAACCTTGCCCACTTCATCAACAACCTGGAAAGCAGCGAGGAGTCCGAATTCTACGTGGACCAGTGGGACAGACTGAAGGAGATGGAGAGCTGCACCTTGACTGTAGGGCTATTGATTGGCTATTACACGGCACCATAGGTGTGCACAAGCCCATAGGAGATGAGGTCCCTTCTCCAAGGAACTTATATTGCTCAGCCCCTTTGAGGCCAATTAAGTCTCTGCTTTTAATTTAATCTCTGGATTGTGAGCTCATTGCACTGGGACCACCAAGGCTATATAGAGCTGTTACATGGTGAATGTTCTGAAAATCTCTGTTACTAGAGCTGCTTAATTTAAAAAGAAAACGGGTAAAAAGACGGTGACGGGGGAAATATTTGGCAACAAATTTTAACTCCTCCCCCACTTTTTCAGCAAAGTTCATAAACTTTTGTCAAGTTTAAAGTTTAAACTATTCTGTGCGGCCTGCTTTAGTATTAAGGAATCACTGTTTTTTGTTTCTTTCCCTGACATTTTGTGTTTCTCTTTTTCTTCCCTCTCACCCCATCTCTTGCTCTTGGGGACATCTTCATGAAAATGGAATCTTTTAAGGCGCTTCTCTGTCTCTGTGTATTCTCCCCATGAAATTGGATCTCCCCGGGGCACTGCTATGCAACTAAGGTACCTGCATGGCCTCTCAGTAATAAGAGCAAACTCCAGCGTATAAATCCTTGCAACACTCCTGGGTGGTAGGAAAGAGCGATGATCCCCATTTTACATATGGGGAACTGAGACTCAGAGAAATGGTATGTTTTGCCTAAGGTCGCAGTGCAAGTCTGGGGCAGAGCTGGGAACTGAACAGAAACCTTCTAAGTCCTAGGCTAGCACATGAACCATTAGGCCAGGCCTGGGCAAAATACGGTCTGTGGGCTGGATCCGGCGCCAAGCCACCGGATCTGGCCCATGGAGGCAGGTTCCCCTGCTTGCGTCCTGCAGAAACCTGGCTGCCGAGCTCTGTTTCTATTTCAAAACTGGAGGGGAGGCGGGAAGCTTCAGGAGCTGCCTGCCAGTCCCATTGGCTGGTTTCTGGCCAG